GTCTTGATAAATGTATCTAATCGAGGGACAGCTTTCCATGGGCATTTGAATATTTCATATAAATCTGTTTACATTTAATTGCTTATTTCCAAGATAATTCTTTCTAGAACTGAAATCTGTCAAAATTTCCTCAAAATCAGAGTTGCAGAAATATCAGTTTACATGATAGTTAAAAATATGGCTTTCAGTGTCTGACAGGTCATGATTCAAAGCAAGATCTGCCACTTAATGGTTGTTAGCACCTGCTAAGTACCCAGAGAGGAATGCATAAGCTTGGGCATGGCACTTGAACTCTCCAAGCCTTTGATATGGTTTGGCTGTGTCCCCATTCAAGTCACATCTTGAATTGTAGCCCATAATTCTCACATGTCATGGTAGGGACCTGGTGGGAGGTAACGGAATCATGGGGGTGGTTTTCCCCACACTGTTCTAGTGGTAGTGAATAAGTCTCATGAGATCTGATGGTTTTATAAGGGGTTTCCCGTTTCTCTTGGCTCTCATTCTCTCTTGCCTGTCGCCACATAGACGTAGCTTTTGCCTTCTACTATGATCGTGAGGCCTCCTCAGCCTCATGAAACTGAGTCCATTAAAACTCTTTTTCTTAATAAGTCTCGGGCATGTCTTTATCAGTAGCATAAAAACAGACTAATATATAGCCTTTTCTTCTCCTTATTTACAAAATGGAGGTAATAAGAGTATCTATCTTATAGGTGTAATGCAACAATTAAATTTAAAAAGTATATAATGTGTTCACAATTATACCAGAGCACGTGACGTATACCCCATAACTAGTGTGTGTTTTAAATAACCCAAGTAAATATATAAAAAATTATAATTTCAAAATCTGAATAAATTCTGAAAATGATAATACTAGATGGCTGTTGATTTCATGATTTTGATAATGACACTGGTTATAAAAGAAAGTGCCCTTATATTTCAGAAAAACATATAGAAGTGTTAAGGGTTACATATAGGAACATCATGTATGCAACATACTCTCAAAAAGGAGAGAGACAGCAGATGTAAATGTTAACATCTGGGGTTGCATGGAGGGTATGTAGAAATTATTTGTATTATTCTTAAAATTTACCAGTAAATCTAAAAATTATGTCAAAATAAAAGGCTAAAAGAAAGTGGAAGGGATTCTTAGGTCTAAACACACAGAGAATAACTGTTATGGATATTTTCTAACCAAACGCATCCTTTTATCTTATTCTTCTAATCCTTCTAGCAAATATACAGGGTTAATTTCAGAAGGAAGGTGGGAGAAGAGGGTATATGTTTGGGTGAGGGGAATCCTTCCATCAGCAAGGCCAGAACACTTGATTACACACCTTTCTAAATTCAAATCTCTACTTTGCGTTGCCTTTCATTAGAACCCCTCCGAGATGCAATTACACAGAAAAGAAGTTGAACAAGAAACAGAATAGGAGAGATTTCTTTATTTCTTTGGAGATGAGGAAAGAGGGTAGAGGCAGAGCAATTTTTATAATTTCCTTTTGAAATAGGCATTGAAGTCAAGATTGGCTCTACTATTTTCTTGTAGAAAATTAGACATCTCTAGTCAAGTGACTCAGGAGACATCACTAAGAACTTTTGAAAAATGAAATGAAAGGACAAAAATTGAAGGGTGAAAGATGACCTTTTACTTCCTTTGGGGAAGCAAGGTTTTCTTGACCTTTAAAATAGTCTCTCCCGGAAAAATGTTTACTTCTCTTACTTTTTCTTTTTAAAAGCTTACCATTGTGGGGGGGAGCACATTAAAGCAGTAGCCCTCTAATGATCACATTCATCTCAAAATTCCACATAATAAATCAGTACAGCAAAGGAGCAAGATTGTAATAGTTGTGATTTAAGACATTAAATGTATTTGGGGGCAAAATGAAGTTTAGAAAATTAAACAATAAGCGCCTAGCATTAGAAGTGTTACTGCACAGGATTGTCTCTGGTCGGGGGGAAAATACACACACACCCCAAGTTAAGCACCAAACTGAGATACAGTTCAATTCAGTCAAAAAGAAGTCCTAGCTCTTTTCTTCTCTTAAATGATCTATCAACATATAATGAGATAATTCATCTGAAGATCAGATTTTTATTAAAAATTAAAATCCATTCAGTTCCACATTTTCAAAAAGCCAGAAATGCCCAAAAGCATTCTTAGCTCCAGCTTAGTTTCCAATTTGAAACTGCAAATCCTTTTTTAATATTCATTCGTTTCACACATACACCTGAAGTTACCCTTTGTGTGGGGCACTAGGGAGCAGAAATAAATCTGACCAGATTCCAGTTCCTCAAGGGACCCCCAGTTTAATGGGGAGCGCAGATAAGTAAATGTCCACTTAGTGAGGGGATACAGTGTGATTCTCATAGCAAACCTAGGATGCTGCAGATGAGGAAACTGAGGCTCAGAGTATAACTTACCCAAGGGACACACTTAGGAAGTCATGAAGAAAGGATTTCAACCTAGGTCTATTCTGACCCCAAATTCTTGCCTCACTGTCTCTCAACCTGGAACACTGCAAATACAGTATTTTAGGGTTCTATAATTGAGAGAGTACAGGATTGGGATCAGAGGACAGAGCGGTCAACTGTACCACGATCAAGGCAGCAGGAGTGTAAGAGGTGGAGTAGGCAAGGAGGTGTCAGAAAAGGCCTTCACAGATTTGGAGACATCCACTCTGAACAAGGATACATAGCAAAGGCTTGTGCAGTGGAGAAGAGCAGGAAGGGTCTCCCAGCAGAAGAAATGAGGGCAAGGGCAACAGCCAAGAAGTATGAGAACCTTGATAGATATGAATCTTTCTGAATGGCCTTCATAAGGAGCCAATAGGAAGGATGCCTTGGCTTAGCCAATATCTGCTAGTCTCAGCCAATCACACCACAGGGATACTTGGCAAGGAATATGCAGATGTAGCTTTAGTTCCTCGCCTGGGAGCAGGTGGAGCACAGGTAAAGGAACTGCAATTGCCTGGGGGTGGCCACAGCTATCCCCACAGAGGCAGCTGTACTGCAGCCTTCATTATTGGCTGCTATGCTGAGCCCCAGGCTACACTGACCCCAGCAGTAGCAGAAATCTGTGCAGAATTTTAACTCCAATGAAGAGTTTAATGAAAGTCCAGGAAAGCCAAACCCATGGAATCACAAAAGATTAGAAGAAAGTGATCTTAGCGAATAACTATAATCTTCTTTTGCAGAAGAGGCATTGAAGAAGCCTTGGTGGGTGAGGGAAGGCTAGACGACATGGCCAGGGTTTCATAATCAGTAAAGAGGTGAAGTCATGACTTGAACCAAAGGCCGGGCACAGTGGCTCATGCCTATATAAGTCCCAGTAATTTGGGAGGCAGAGGCGGGTAGATCACTTGAGGCCAGGAGTTTGAGACCAGCCTGGCAAACATGGTGAAACCCTGTCTCTACTAAAAATACAAAAATTAGCCAGGCATGGTGGCTCAGGCCTATAATCCCAGCTACTCAGGAGGCTGAGGTAGCAGAATAGCTTGAACCCAGGAGGCAGAGGTTGCAGTGAGCTGAGATCGCACCACCACACTCCATCCTGGGAGACATAGTGAAACTGTCTCAAAAAAATAAAAATTAAATAAAATAAAAAGACTTGAACCTAGGGTCTCCTGACTCCAGTTCAGTGTTTCATTTCACTTGAAATGACTGCATAGGAACTTTCCCTGACTTCTCCACCTTCCCGCATTTCCCATTCCATGTTATGCTGGTTTCCATAGTGCCTGTGTTTAATTCCATCCCAGCATGGACAATCCACCTCCTCTGCTAAGCAGGACCCTTCATTGGAAGCTGAGACTACATGTTTTGTCTGACTCCCCACTCTGCCAGTGCTGGAAATATAAAAGGCACTTAGTAAATATTTGTTCACACTAAAGGAAATTGTGACAGAGTCAGAAGATGTGGGTCCTAGTCCCGGCTCCATGAACCTATAGGCCATGGGACTGTGGGCAAGTCACTCAACTCTCTGAATCTCAGCTTCCTCATCTATAAGATGATGAATGAAAACATGATATAGTGGAAAGATGATGGAATATAAAGCCTATAAATGTCCAACTGAATGAGCAGATGATCACCCTTCTATACCAGAAATCCTGAGGGCAAGAGATTTCTAACTTGTTTTGTATCCTTAGCACTTGGCACTTAGTGGGCCTCAGGAACAGACTGCACTAAACCACATAAGAATATCTGAGTAGGGGCTGGGCACGGTGGCTCACGACTGTAATCCCAGCACTTTGGGAGGCCAAGGCGGGTAGATCACAAGGTCAAGAGATCGAGACCATCCTGGTCAACATGGTGAAACCCTGTCTCTACTAAAAAAATATAAAAAAATTATCTGGGCATGGTGGCGCGTGCCTGTAATCCCAGCTACTCAGGAGGCTGAGGTAGTAGGAGAATTGCCTGAACCCAGGAGGCGGAGGTTGCGGTGAGCCAAGATGCCGCCATTGCATTCCAGCCTGGGTAACAAGAGTGAGACTCCGTCTCAAAAAAAAAAAAAAAAAGAATATCTGAGTACACCAGCAGTTGTATAACCAGGAGCAAGTACCTGTGATTCTGAACCTTTATTTCCTCATTTTTAAATTGGAGATCATGATACCTTCCCAAACTGCGTGAAGATAAAAGAGGTCATATATATATATAAATCACTTGGTAAACTGCAAGCACAACACAGATGCCAGTCGTCACTTGGGCTGTTTAAAAGGACCTCCTGATGAACAGGACCTAAGTATGTTTTCCAGAAAGGAAAAGATTCTGGATGATATTATTTTCCCAGTAAACACATTGAACTGTTAAACAAGGAGCACAAGAACAGCATGATATACATCCGAGCAGGAGGTGAAGTTCTAATTTTGGCAACAAAGGAAATAACACTGGAAGCAGATGGGGAGGTGAAATCATGGCTCCTAAGGAGGCCTTGCAAGCTGCTTTGAATCATCTGCCTTCTTCTGACAGCTGGAGTCCCCTCACTTCTGTCTTTAGTCTTTTACTAGTTATGTGCCAGAACCCAGGGCCACTGCATCGGCCTCTGGGGATGCCATGCTTCAGAGGCAGAAGACATTGTGTTCTCCATGTCAGTTCCCAGCCCTGCTGCGGATGTGTAAGGGCGAGGTGTGTGGCTGAAGGTCGGATCATCACCAGGGAAAGGCTGGCTGGTGACCACCTGGCACTCCCACTGGATGGCATCACTTTGGTAAGTTTCTCATGGTCCCAGTCTGGCCCACCCTCTTGTGAAGTGACAGGCTGGGTCCTGCAGATACCCTGGCCTCAAAGAGGCTGACTTTAATGACTAAACTCACAAGAGACAATAAAAAGTAAACCACAGCATATGCACATTAATTTGCAACTCAATTTGGCAAATATGCTTGAGTCCCTACTGTGTGCCAGGCACTGTGATAGGCATGGGGGAGATAATGATGAATGAGATCCATCTGGTCACTCCCCTTTGGAACTTACAGTAGGAGAGGACGGTAATTAAACAGGCAGTCACTAGACAGTGTGATTAGCATAAGTACCATGAAAAGAAAAACAGCAAGGAGCTGCTGAGAACTTGCTCCAGATGTAGGGGGCAGAGTAGGCTTATAGAGAAAATAAAAGCTGACCCGGGGTCTGAAAATTGACAAAACTGTCAGGTGAAAAGCGGCAGCTTGGAAGTGGAGGGGGTACAAAGAATGAAGGTGGGTGCTCCAGGCAATAAGAAAGGCAGTCAGAGGTCAGAAAGGTCTTGATGCCATTGAGTATCTACTCAAAGGCTGAATATGGAAGGACCCAGGAGCAAGAGTTCAGAAATGGGGAGAAGTGTAGCTGCCACGGTGGTTAAGGGCTCTCTATAAGGCACGTGCAGGAGTTTAACTGCATCTTTTTGATAAGCCATTCATTGGGTTACTCAGTCAGTCAAATCAGTACATTGTCTACAGGAAGGAAAATGATGCAAGTAATCCATTTACCGGAAGGTTATTCGATAAGCGTGGAGTCAGGACAAAGGATATACACTTCACACTGCAAGTTTTCTTTCTGCCTTGACTCTGACCCACTTATAACGCCACATTTTCCTGGTTCCTAAACCCAGGGGAGAACATTGTTCTCTGGGGGTTTTTGCGAATAATGCACTTCATTCAGTCTTGAGAAGCTGAATCAATAAATGCTAACTTGGGGTGGTAACTGGAGAGGAAAATGGAAGAATTTCGTGCTTGCTGCTTCCCTCCAAGAAACTGCAAAACATTATTGAACAGGTTTTTGGCTATATTCAGAGAAAAATTCTTCTGCTGAGAAATACAAACTCTTTCACCATAATAAATACTGTTTTGATAACAAAACTGTACTTTTCTCAAATACCCAGATGGAAGACCATATGCAAAATAAACTCTAAGGAATTTTTTTATTGGCCATCTGCTAAAATTGGAAAGAAAGCCTGTATCCGCCTCGACTCTTTACAAAAATTTTCTCTAAGAATCCCACTTGCTTCCACGTGGTGCCACCTGCTGATCATATTTGAGTACCTGTTTTGCAAATGAAGAGCAGGGTAATGTGGATCTCCCTATTTCTTTAATGAAATAAACTTAATCCTAATTAATGTGAGAAATATCCTGCAAAGTGTCAGGCTTTCAGTTGTTACACCAAAACTCACACTTCTTCCTGTTGTTGCCAGGAATCACAAAGCAAAGCCCTCGCATGTACATACCTCTGAGCCTCACTTCTGAGGCACTGTTAGGACATTTTTTTGCCCCCAGGATTGAGTACACTACCTCTAATAAAGCCCTGTGTTTGGCTTTCACCTGTCAAAAATGACAATGTACTATATTCTTTAGTATATCAATTCCACTTTGAGATATCTACCCAAAGGAGAGCTGGCACAGGTGTATAAAGGCATGTGAGGACATTCCGCATTGTTTGCTGAACCAAAAAATAAGAGAATGTCTAAATGTCCATCAACAGGGTGATGATTTTTAAAGTCATAATGCATTCATACAATGAAATACTGTGATGCAGCACTGACATGGCATGATGTCCTAGACACATTCAATGGGAGAAAATAAAGACTAAAGAATGGATAGTATAATCCAATGTTTTTAAAGAAAAGCAGCTCTATTTGTTTATACACAGGAAAAGGTTGAAAGGATACACACTAAACTAAAGCAATTTCTGAAGAGTAGGGACTTTTTCCCACTTTTTACTTTAAACAAGCCTATATTATTTGAATTTTTACTATCGATGCATTGTATTACAACAAAGGAGCTACTAAAATTATAATGCCACATTCTTTAAAAATCAGATTTGCAGCCAATAAAGCATTTCATCATCACATGAGATGAAATGTGATGCTTTGCTCCAGAAGCAGGAGACACTGTATTCATTGTATCTCATCGTCACATATTCACTGAGTGCTCACTTGCTCTAAGGCTAGAATCACTTTCACATTTAAGAGATGAAGAAATGGGACTGAGAGGAGAAGGAACCGAGATCCTGTAGGCAACAGAAGACAGTGCCAGGGCGCTCCAGCAAACGACTACTGAGGGGTTTTTAGAGTCTTATTCTGCATGTGCCAGGCCCTAAACCAGCAGTTTTTAAACTGATTCCACTATGTGGACAAAGAAATCCTCCTTTACATTAGAAAACTACACAGTCCTGAGGACTTTCAGCATCAATCAAATGGGCTATGAAACTTCAGGGCCTAGAACATTAAAGCAGGAAGACCAGAGCAGTCACCTAACTCAGCCTTCCTGTTTTAATGATGGGAAAAGGGTCTCCCTGAGGCAGTCAATATTAGAGCAACAAACACTTGCCGTCTCCAAGGAGTTAACTTTCCTTCTTCTCCACTAAACCCGCTCCTCCTCTTGGGTTTCCCATTCTGGCAAATGGTAACCCAGCAGACTCCTGAAAGCACCAAGTCTGCCTTCTTCCTCATCCTCAATTCTATCTGTCTCCAAATCCTATTGATGCCACCTTCCAAATATTCCTCACATCTGGTCCTTCTCTGCATAAGATTCCACCTGGGTGTCTCCATACAACCTTCAGCATCTCTTCTGCCCAGATGAATAGAATGGCCTTTCTAATAGGTCTCACTCCTCTTCCCTCCCAATCTACGCTATCCTCTCCAACAGACCACCTTTCTAATACCAAAACCTGATAATATACCTCCCTGCTCTCTACTTAAAACCCCTGCATGGCTTCCCCTTGATAAGCACTTTACCCTGGCATTCAAGACCCTCTGTGAGCTACCCTCTACTTCTCACAGCTCATCTATGGTCAAATCCTTTTCAATTATTTTTATTACTTTTTTGAGACAAGGTCCACTCTGTTTGCCCAGGCTAGAATGCAGTGGCATGATCTCAGCTCACTGCAGCTTGACCTCCTGGGCTCACATGATTCTCCCACCTCAGCCTCCTGAGTAGGTTGGGACTGCAAACACACACCACCACACCCAGCAAATTGTTCATATTTTTAGTAGAGACAGGATTTTGTCATGTTGCCCAGGCTGGTCTCAAACTCCTAGACTCAAGCAATCTGCCCGCCTCAGCCTCCCAGAGTGCTGTGATTACAGGCATAGTATGGTTTGGCTGTGTCCTCACCCAAATCTCATCTTGAATTATAGCTCCCATAATTCCCACATGTTGTGGGAGGGGCCCAGTGGGAGATAATGAATCATGGGGCAGTTTCTCCCATACTGTTCCCATGGTAGTGAATAAGTCTCACAAGATCTAACTGTTTTGTAAAGGGTTTCCCTTTTCACTTAGTTCCCATATTCTCTCTTGCCTGCCACTATATAAGACATGCCTTGGCTGGGCGCGGTGGCTCAAGCCTGTAATCCCAGCACTCTGGGAGGCCGAGGTGGGTGGATCACGAGGTCAAGAGATCAAGACCATCCTGGTCAACATGGTGAAACCCCGTCTCTACTAAAAATACAAAAAAGTAGCTGGGCATGGTGGCGCATGCCTGTAATCCCAGCTACTCAGGAGGCTGAGGCAGGAGAATTGCCTGAACCCAGGAGGCAGAGGTTGTGGTGAGCCGAGATTGCAACATTGCACTCCAGCCTGGGTAACAAGAGCGAAACTCTGTCTCAAAAAAAAAAAAAAAAAAAAAAAAGACGTGCCTTTTACCTTCTGCCATGATTGTAAGGCCTCCCTAGCCATGTGGAACTGCAAGTCCATTAAACCTCTTTTTCTTCATAAATTACCCAGTCCCAGGTATGTCTTTATCAGCAGCATGAAAACGGACTAATACAAGGTGTGAGCCACCATGCCTGGCCTAAATCCATTTCTCTTAAACTTTAGTGATTTCAAACTGCTTATCATTCCAAAATGATAAGTCAGCTGTCACCTCTGTCAGGAAGCTTCCTCTCTCCCTCTATTCCATTTGCCTTCAGCCCTGTCCATCCCTGCTCCCCATCACCAGCAAAATTTTATTCCTTTTCTCTGGAACATTTCTTTACCTTATACACACATCTATTTTAATATCTTCACACATTATTACACAGAAGGGAAAGTATTGGTTGGCTCTTAAGCCAGTCTTCCAAACTGTGTTACCCCGGCCAAGTGACTTAACCTCTCTACACCTCAGTTTCCTCTCCTACAAATAATAGAAGAATCCTGTGAGGGTTGCTAAAGAATTTTAAATTAGGTAGTTGTTATGGACTATATGTTTGTGTTCCCACCCCACCTCTGAATTCACATATCGAAACCCTAACACCCAAGGGGATGGTTTTAAGAGATAGGCTCTTTGGAGGGCAATTAGAACATGTAGGTGTATCTCACACAATGGGATTAGGGTCCTTAAAAGAGAAGGATGACAGAGTCCTCTTTTTCTATTCCAGGTAGGCACCTTCTCATTAGAAGGTGACCATCTATAAACCAGGAAGAGGGCTCTCACCAGAACCCAACCATGCTGGCATGCTGATCTTGGACTTCCAGCTTCTGCAACTGTGAGAAAGAAATGCTTGTTGTTTAAGTCACCCAGTTTATGAGATTCAATTATATCAGCCCAAACTTCCTAAAACAGTAATCTAGATAAAAACACTCAGCAAATGTTGCTACTGTTATTGTTATGTATTCATTCTTTTAGAGGACTTCCACTTTCAGCAAAGTGTAATAACAGAAACTAGATTTACTCCTGCCCCACATAGCTCAAGCAACCAAAAAGTAGACAAAGTATGTTAAACAACAGTTTTGAAGCCCTGGACATGAGGCAACAAAGGACAGTGATTCCTGAGAGACAGGAATCAAATGATGTGAGCCCTAAGATTGCCCCAGATTACTGCCTTGAGAAAGACTCCAGGCTGCAATACAGAGTGTAGGAAGAGTAGGACCTCAGTGAAGCCCAGTGGACACCCTGAGTCGAGAAAATGGAACTGAAAGTCAGGGGAGGCTGAGATAGCCAGCGTTCTCTGGACAGAGTATTGGGAAGGACAGTTTTGTACAGAGAACTCTGGAGTATCTCCCTTAAATATTTTGCTGGGTACAGATCAGCATGCACATGAGGAAGCTACCTGAGGCCAAACTACCTGAAAAACACCCCAAGAAAGCAGAGGTAGCAGTGCCTGGTGTCCACAAAGAGCCAGGAGTAGTGTCTTTCTCACCAGCCAGACTAGAAAACATCATGATTCATGGAGAACTGGCTAGAGCCCACATGAGATTCTTGCTGAGTAGTTAGGGATAGATAGTAAGCCTTAGACTGATTACCACTCCAGTCCTGCCTAACAAATCTTGAAATAGACCTGAAATCTATTTCCAAGTCTCTTAACTGAATCCTACGACAAAGTTCAAGAATATGTGCAGGAATGTGGAAATATCCAACATCCAAATAAGGTAAGATTCAGTATATCTGTCACCCAGCTAAAACCTACCGGACATGAAAAAAACATGGTGATATGGGCCATAATGAAGAGAAAAATCAAAACAAACTCAGAATGGACAGAGTTAGAATTAGGAGTCAGTAACATTAAGACAGCGATTACAATGTATTTCATATGTTCAAAAAGTGAAGTAGAAATATGGAAGATATGAAAAAAGAATCTAATGTTTAGAAATCAAAAACTACAATGTGTGAGATAAAAAAGACTGAATGGGATTAGACAATAATGAAAAAAAATGAGTGAATGTGAAGACAAAACAGCAACTCTCCAAAATGAAACAGAATGATTTTTTTTTTTTTAATAAAAAGAACATCAGTGAACTGTGAGACAATTTGAGATGGACTAACATGTATATAATTAGAGTGGGGAGTGGAAGTGAAGAGGCACAGAAAAAAAAAATCTAAAGAAATAATGGGCAAGTATTTTCCGAATTTTATGAAAATTAGAAACCCACAGGTCTAAAAGCTCAATGAGAAACATGAGCTTTAATATGAGAAATATGAAAGAAAATTACATCAAGACACACTGTAATCAAATTGCTCAAAACCAATGATAAAGAAAAAATATTAAAAGCAGCAAGAGAAAAAGAATATGTTATATATAGAAGATCAAAAATAAGGAAGAAAACAGATTTCTTGTCAGAAACAATATAAGCAAGGAGAGAGAAGAGCAATATATTAAAAGTGCTGAAAGAAAAACAAAATGTCAATCTAGAATTCTGTACCTAGAGAAAATATCATCCAAAACCAAGGGCAAAATAAATTTCAAGAAATATAAAAGTTGATAGAATTCATCACCAAATGACCCTCACTATGTGAAATGCTACAGAAAGTTATTTACACACACAAAAATATGATATCTGATGGAAATGTGAATCTACACAAAAAAAATAAAGAATACTGGAAATGGTAACTATATGAGTAAAATATTTAAAATTACTTCAACTTGTTTTTTAAATCCCTTTAAAATAGAGTTGATTGTTAAATAAAATTAATAACAATGTAGTCTGGAGTTTTTATATATTATAATAAACATAAAAGTAAAATATATCAAAACAATAGCATAAAAGCTAGGTATGGGAAAATGGAAGTACTGTAGAGTGTGAAGGTTCTCACACTACAAATAAAATGATACAATATAACTTAAAGGCAGATTGTGACACGTCAAAGATGCATATCATAAATTTTAAAGAAACGACTAAAAACAAAACAATTATAGCTATTACATCAACAAAGGAAATCAATAAAATTGATAAACTTCTAGCCAGACTGATCAGAGGGGAAAAAAAGAAAAAGGCAGAACACAGATTACAAATGTTAGGACTAAGAGGTATCATTAGTAAATGTAAAGGCAGATTATAAAAGTTAATATTATGAATCATTTTACACCAATAAAAGTGAAAACTTAGAAAAAAATGGACCAATTTCTTGAAAAACAAACTATTAAAGCTCATTCAAGAAGAAATAGATAAGATGAACAGCCTTTATCTGTTAAAGAAATTGAATTTGTAGTTAAAACTTTCCCATAAAGAAAATACCAAGCTCACATGACAAAATTCACTGGTGAATTTTACCAAACATTAAAGAAATAATCCCAACTCTGCAAAAACTCCTCTAGAAAATTTAAAAGTAGAAAATACTTTATAATTCATTCTATGTGACCAGCATTATCCTGATAACAAACCAAAGACATTACAAAAAAGAGAAAACTACAAACCAATATCCCTCATGAATATAGATGCAAATAAAGAAAATGTTAGCAAATTAAAATCCAACAATATATAAAAACGATAAAATGTTATGCCTAAGTGGAGTTTGTTTGCAGGGGTTTGTTTAATATTGAAAACCAATCAGTACAACTCAACCACATTAACAAACTATAAAAGAAAATACATATAATCATCTCAGTAGGAACAGTGGGGGAAAAAAGTGATGAAATCCAACATCCATTCCTAATTAAAAACAAACAAAATCCATGGAAACAAGAAATGAAAGGAAACTTCATCAATCTAATAAAGACCATCTACAAGAAACCTACAACTAATACAATACTTAATGATGAAAAACTAAATGCATATCCCCTAAGATCAGGAACAAGTCCCAGACATCTGTTCATGCCACTTCCATTCAACATTACATGGAGGTTCTAGCCTGTGCCAGATGGCAAGAAAAAGAAATAAAGGGCTAATTAATTATAAAGTAAAACAAAAACAGTCCATATAGACAATCCAATGGAAGTACAAAATAAGTTACTGGAACTATTAAATAAGTTTAACAAGGTTGCAGGATACAAGATCAACATACAAAAATCAATTTTATATTGATATACAATGAACAATTAGAAATTGACATTTAAAAATAAAACACTGCCAAGGTATCACAAATTTGAAATCATAAAGAAAAACTGTGACAAAAGATCTGAAAGATTTGTACACTAAAAACTAAAAAAACACTGTTGAAAGAAATTAAAGACCTAAATAGAAGGAAAGATACACCATGTTGATGGGTCAGAAGACTCACTCTTGTTAAGATATTGATTCTACTCAAAATGATATATAGATTCAACACAATTCCGTTCAAAATTCCAGTGGGCTTTTTTGTAGATATTCACAAGCTGATTCTATATTTCATATGGCTGATCAAAGGACTGTAATAGCCAAAACATCTCTGAAAAAGAAGAATAAAGTTGGAGAACTTATACTACATGATTTCAAAGCTTATTATAAAGCTATAGCAATCAAAACAGTGAGGTTCTGGCAGAAAGAGAGACAAATAGATCAATGACATGGAATAGAGAATTCAGAAATATACCCACACATATTTGGACAACCATTTTTAACACTGGTGTAAAGGCCATTTGAAAGAGAAAGATGAGTGCTCTGATCAAATGTTTCTGGAATAACTGGATATTCATATACAAAAGTGAACTTCAATCCATACCTTAGACCATATCTGAAAATTAACTCAAATCACAGACCTAAATTTGAAAGCTAAAACTATAAAACTTTAAGACAAAAACATAGGAGAACATCTTTGTGAGCTTGGGTTAGATAAAAACTCCTATACATGACAAAAAAGCACAATGTATAAAAGAAAAAAATGATAAATTGAACTTTATTAAAATTAAAAACTTACTTTTTAGAAGATAATAAAGGAATGAGAAGACAAGACACAGGATCAAAACATCTCATGTACCCCATATGTATATGTACCTACTATATAGACACAAATATTAAAAATTAAAAAATTAAAAAGACAAGGCACAGACTGGAAAAAAAATTTACAGTTGGTATATCTCATAAATACATGTATTCAAAATATATAACAACTCTCAAAGGTCAATAATAAAAATAAACCACCCAATTAAAATAAAAAAGCAAAACATGTAAACAGACATTTCATCAAAAAATGTATTTGGATGGCAAAGCACATGAAAAGAATGCTCCACATCATTAGTCTTTAGGAAGTGCAAAATAAAACCAATGACAGGCCACTACATACCTATTAGAATGGCTAAAATTAAAAAGACAGACCACTGGTCCCATACAGTGACAGCTGGGAGCAGTGGCTCACACCTGTAATCCCACCACTTATGGAGTGTGAGGCAGGCAGATCGCTTGAACTCAGGAGTTCAAGACCAGCCTGGGCAACATGGTGAAACCCTGTCTTTACAAAAAATACAAAAATTAGTCAGGTGTGGTGGCTTGTGTCTGTAGTCCCAGCTACTTCGGAGGGCTGCTTGAGCCTGGGGGACAGAGGCTGCAGTGAGCTGTGACTGGGCCACTGCACTTCATCCTAGGCAATGAGCAAGACCTCGTCCTAAATAAATAAATAAATAAATAGACTGACCATTACCAAATTTTGGCAAAGATATGGAGGAATTGGAATGTTCATACATTATCGATGGGACTATAAGATGATACAACTGCTTTGGAAGACAATAAATACTTTTGTTAAAATTAAATGTATGCCTACTGTATGATCCAGCCATTCCATTTTTAAGCACTAACCCAAGAAGAATGAAAACATGTCCACACAAAGACTTACACACAGATGTTCACAGTGTATTTGTAATAGCCAGAAACTGGAATCAACCCAAATGTACAGCAGCAGGAGAAGGTCTAAGCAAACTGTAGTATAAACATTCAACAGAATACTCCTCAGCAATGAATTATTGACACATACTACAAATATGGATGAATTTCAAAATAACCAAAAGAAGCCAGACCTCCCCTCAAAAGAACTGCCTGTTATATAATTCCATTTACATAGAATTCTATAAAGTGCTAAGTTATCTTGACAGAAAGCGGATCCACAGTTGCCTGATGATAGGAGAGGAGGAAAACAGGGAAGAAGTGAAAGGAGGGGCTGGGTTTAGTGGTCATGCCTGTAACCCCAGCACTATGGGAGGCAGAGGCAGGCAGATCACTTGAGGTCAGCAGTTCGAGACCAGCCTGGCCAACATGGCGAAACCCCGTCTCTACTAAAATTATGAAAATTAACTGGAGGTGGTAGCAGATGCCTGTAATCCCAGCCACTCAGGAGGCTGAGGCAGGAGAATTGCTTGAACCTGGAAGATGGAGGGTGCAATGAACCAAGATTGCACCACCATACTCCAGCCTGGGCAACAAAGCAGGACTCCATCTCAAAAACAACAACAACAACAACAAATGCTGGGCGCGGTGGCTCAAGCCTGTAATCCCAGCACTCTGGGAGGCCGAGGCAGGTGGATCACGAGGTCAAGAGATTGAGACCATCCTGGTCAACATGGTGAAACCCCGTCTCTACTAAAAATGCAAAAAATTAGCTGGGCATGGTGGCGCGTGCCTGTAATCCCAGCTACTCTGGAGGCTGAGGCAGGAGAATTGCCTGAACCCAGGAGGCGGAGGTTGCAGTGAGCCGAGATTGGGCCATTGCACTCCAGCCTGGGTAACAAGAGCGAAACTCCATCTTGAAAAAAAAAAAAAAGAAAAGAAGGGACGGACAGAAGGATTACCAAGGGACACGAGGAAACATTTCAGTGTGATGCATATATTCATTATCTTGATTGTAGTGATGATTTCATGGATTTTTACATGTATGAAATGTATCAAACTGCATACTCTAAATATCTGCAATTTGTTCTATGTCAATTATATCTCAATAAAGCCGTCTGTTTAAAAGTATAAGACAACTAGGCTCTCTGCAGCATCTCAAATTATCTCCTTACCAGATGGTTAATGATTACAAAGGGAAAAAATAGTAACTTTATAGTGGAGAAATCTAGCAGACACCACTTTAACTAAGTGATCAAAGTTAACATTACCAGGAAAAA